CGCCTTCTCGTCCATGATGGGCCGCATCGGCTCCATGCTGGCGCCGCTCACGCCCGCGCTGGTGAGTCATGTGTCAAGTGACTGTAGTACTGCATCGGACGGTGATGACGGCGGTGTAGTGTACACCAACGAGCTGTACCCCACGCGCCACCGCCACAGCCTGTTCGCCTTCTCGTCCATGATGGGCCGCATCGGCTCCATGCTGGCGCCGCTCACGCCCGCGCTGGTGAGTCATGTGTCAAGTGACTGTAGTACTGCATCGGACGGTGATGACGGCGGTGTAGTGTACACCAACGAGCTGTACCCCACGCGCCACCGCCACAGCCTGTTCGCCTTCTCGTCCATGATGGGCCGCATCGGCTCCATGCTGGCGCCGCTCACGCCCGCGCTGGTGAGTCATGTGTCAAGTGACTGTAGTACTGCATCGGACGGTGATGACGGCGGTGTAGTGTACACCAACGAGCTGTACCCCACGCGCCACCGCCACAGCCTGTTCGCCTTCTCGTCCATGATGGGCCGCATCGGCTCCATGCTGGCGCCGCTCACGCCCGCGCTGGTGAGTCATGTGTCAAGTGACTGTAGTACTGCATCGGACGGTGATGACGGCGGTGTAGTGTACACCAACGAGCTGTACCCCACGCGCCACCGCCACAGCCTGTTCGCCTTCTCGTCCATGATGGGCCGCATCGGCTCCATGCTCGCGCCGCTCACGCCCGCGCTGGTGAGTGTACTGGAGTACTAGACTACCTACAATATGAATATTACGTAATAAATACTGCTTTTATAAAACGCAGGAACCAGACTCTACATTATGTTGCAAAATACATACTTGTAGCATCTAGTAGGTACTATTACACTCATGTAAATATGAAAGATTAAAATGAGTGTTTTTATCCACAGCGACGAAACTCTTGGCCTGCATCTCACCTGATGGAAAGTGATGATGAGGGCGAATTTATTCGTATCAAACTTAATTTAAACAAATATGGAGTCCTTGAATTAATCTGTAAAACATAATGAACCCCATAACTACTATTACTAGTTTGGTGACGGTCCATTAGGTCTGATATTATGTGAAATTCATAGGTTCTACCAATGCTAAACTAAAAATGTAAAAAAAAAACTAAAGGTAGCTATGATAACCATATCATAGCTACCTTTAGTTTTTTTTACTATAGTTTTATTGGCGTTAATAACACATCTATATCAAAGCCTTTTTTTTTTGAACAAACAATATTTATTGCTGTGTTTATAGGGTGCGGCTGTGTGGGACAAGCTGCCGTTCGTGCTTTTCGCGAGCTTCGCCTGCCTGTCGGGCGCGCTGATCTTCGTCACACCCGAGACGCTGGGTACCAAGTTCCCAGACACCATGGAGGAGGCCTCCGACCTCGGGAGAAAGATGAATGCTACGCAAAAGTAGCACTGATCTTATTATAAGGTACAGTTAGGTACACATGCACATAGAGATGAGACGTATTTACTAGAACAGATACACACACTAGGTATTTTACAGTACTAGGCGGCACCTATTCCAATTTTTTAAATACTTGATCCACCTAGTATTTTATAAATTACACGATTTCCGATCCTATCATCAAAGTAATAGAGGTTATTATTGCGTAATCCGTAATCGTGTATTACGCGCACCTAGTATTTCTCGCTAAGCTTATGTGCGAACGTAGAGATTCGCTCCGTCTCTGTCTAACCAAACAAATTTGAGCGCGACGAAGCAAACGCACACAAACATAGTCAAACCATATTCATGTAAATAAGAAAAATGTATGCTCTTTGAGCGGAACATAGTGATACTACCTAATGTAACATGTCACCATTTTACCTATGATTCACAATAAACGTAAAAAATATGTAAATATTTTTATGAAATTGATATCTTTTAAATACGCCAACTTTTAAGTTGACAGTCCTAAGCCAGTTGAAGTATGAAGGGAGGAATTATTATTCAATTTCAAATTGCATTATTCATACTACGGTTGTATCTTTTAAAAAAAAATTGTATTTTAAAGTCATATTACGTGGATTAGTCCGCACTAGTCGCGTCAAGTATGCTAAATTACTACGTACTAGTTGGAATAGGTATTTGGATGGAGTATTAATAAATACTAGGAATAGTATTTATTAATACTCGATCCAAACCACCTAGTATCAAATTTACCTAGTATAACCCATCTCTACATGCACATTATGACATCTTATGAGCATGTGTAACTAACTGTACTTCACTTATTGTAATTATGTAAATATTATTTATTTATAAGAAACTAGTGGTTGGTCTACATAGAACACCCGTAACGTGAAGTTCAAAACTTTAATCTCTCGTCATATTCCATCAGAATAAAATGTCTATTGTTATTCCTTTTTTCCTACTTAATTATTATAATTTATTTGTAAAACAAACATTTTTAAGTACTCTTTCCCGTTTTATTTCGACTTTATCGTAAAATCTATTCGTTGCCGACACTTTAACTAGGTAAGTACCTACCAAATGGATTTAATAGAAACTGTAATTACAAAATATTATAACAATTTATTTTTCCATTATCTAGGATGCCGCCAAAGTCCACTTGCACAGATTAACTTAACTCAGGATTAAAATATCTTTTAATATTTCAGTCTCTTTGATATCGATAACAATGGCTTAGCTACTAATCCTTGATTAAAAATTGATGAGCAGGTGTACCTTGACGGTCTTAGTTTGGTGGTTAGTTTTACAGATTAAATGCCAACTGCGGTTGCGGGGTCGAATCCCGCAAGGGCAAAATAACCAGGTAATAAGTAAATGCTCGTAGCATATTATGTAGGTACCTATGCGATGTTTATAATTTAACCATCCTAACGAGCAAGCCACAAAGTTCCATTATACCTGCAACATTTTGCATAACAAGATTTTTAAACTAGCAAATTCTTCTACTCCGCTAAAGAAAAATGATGCAATAAAAATACAGTGAGGCGCTCTAAAATATTATTTGGTCACAATCAACACATCTTTTAAAGCTCTAATATCACATTGATCCGTGCCCTGTAGTTAAACATCGACAAAATTAAAGAATATAGAATAAGCACACATGGTAGTGGTGGGTGGTACGAGAATACAGTTTCTATAAATCAGCCACAAACTAGGAATTTCCTCTAAAGTATCCACAAATTATCAGTCTGACAGAGATCAGCAGATTCTGTTAACAGGTTAGCAGTTCAAACTCTTGAACATGTACTACCTAAGCCTAATAAATTACACGGTCTTTTTGCTCTTGAACACATCAAACACAAAGTATATGACGTAGCATTACGAGGAATTAGTACGTAGTCTCTTTAGACTTCCTAACACGTATACAGATGAGTTATGCGTTCTATAAAAATAAGTTAATATTCATTGAATAGAATCTGCAACGACACAGTCACGACACGGCCGAAAGTGTTCCGTCTAGGCCAGTGGCTCTCAAACTTCAAAAAAGAAACTGGGGCACTCGTCATCGGACCGGTACTACACTGCTTTATAAGCAATAACCTTTCGTAGCCAAATCAAGTCCGTAGCAGACAGTTCGTAGCAGCAATTCAGCTCGTATCTCTAGAACTAATGCTTGTAAGTTCTATAAATATTAAAAATTGGGGGTCACATAATATTACCATGTTGGGCGCCAGTGGGTAAGCTTAAGCCGAGGGCAATAAACAAAAGACTGAGGCGCCACCTGGCCGAACCTTGCCTTGAAGTCATTTATGGTTTGTGTGCCCGTCCCATTTCTTTGGAATTTGTTTTATTTATAACGATTCGTAACATCTCTTTGCGATCCGGTATCAGTAGTCAAGAAAGTCACCCAAGAAACATAACGCATGTAGCCTCCTTTATAGATAAGCGTAAAAGCTAAATAGAGTGAGAGTAGTAATGGAGATGTCCAGAAGGCATAGCACTTATAATAAAATTGTTTTTGTTGTTATTTAAAGGTAATTAACCGTTTAACAGCTTAACGCCCGCTGGTCACGTGTTACGCACGCGTCTGCAATTATGCTATTTTCTTCCAGTCATATTGTCACCTGGCCAAAATTGCACTACTTGTATGTGTACATTATGACATTATCAAGTTAACATTAAAAAGTTTGTTTGTTTGTCAACATTTTCATTAAAAAGTAATTAAATAAAAGCCAAATCAGCACAAAGTTACAAGTAGGTATGTATCGTATGATCCACCTGTAAATGAAAAGTTAAAAAGACGATTTAACAACTAACTGGCAACACACGCAGCAGAATGTTTTAACGCCATTTCAGATAAATGCCCTCAAAAATGTAATTCGTCCGTCCACGCAGTTCAGTAAAAGACAGTTTATGAACTTAGGTTGCGTCTTAGGCGCATGTGTATCTTCGATCCACGATGACGGGGTGTGAACGTTTGATTTGATAATGGCCGTTATTTCATGACTGGTAGCTGTGCCACGTTGCGCACACACATGGCCGCAGCCTGATGCCATGCAATTACATGGGGCTATTGTTGAGCGCTTTTGTGCAGCGGTCACGTAACAACCTCCAATTTACTTACAGCGTAACTAGTCTTGATGTTTGCAGGATTACAGTACTGAAACATACCGACCTATTATTATTATTGTTTCTGAGTTTTATCGTATTTAGGTTGGCCTGTTTCAGTGACTTGTAAAAAAATCCACGACCTAACCATGGAGAAGGATTCTCGTTAACAAAACTGATTAATAAATTGTGATCCACGTTATTATTAAAGAAGTATCATCGTATGTCTCAAATGTGAAATTGTTCTGCGGTTCACGAAAACACTGTAAAAGAATGAAAAGAAGCTTTCCAGGAATCTTGTGACACATTTACTCGTATGTTACCAGGAAATGCAATTATGAAAGTTCGTTAAACGAGTCGTCTACCGTTACTTCCATACATTTCTCCACACAATGAGCTGACCGTATCTTAAGAATAGCAGCATTTATTGTTCCCTTGTAAGAAAACAACTAGTAGAACAGTTGTGCGCGCTCGCAGCGCCAGCGGGGCCCGCACACAACGCGGCGGCGCGGGCACGTGCGCGCACTGACTGCGCGGGAACTGACACATTCCAAATTTAAATTCAAAATTATTAATAACATACACAACAAAAATATTTTACCTTACTCTAAGTAAATAGGTCGTGTACACTCTTTCCTGAGTGCAGTGATGGTCACGGTGCAGTGCGATCGCTTCCGCATTTGAGATGTGAGTACGATGTTTTTATTTTTTACGGTGATAACGATAATATGTGTACGTTTTCGCTATGCTACTTGAGTGAGTGAGCAATGCTATGGTGTAAGGATTTTGTGAACATAAATACAAAACGTTTGATTAGTCATTAGCTCATTTTGCAAATTATTTCTCAGAAGTAAAAGAAAAGATTGTCTTCGTTCACTTCAGAGTCATCGTATGTAAAACAGACAAAATCCAGAAACAACTTGTTTTTGACAGATACATAGAAAGATAATAGATCTGTACTTAGTAACAAATTGTGGAAAAATACGTGCGTCTAAAACTAAATATTAATTATTATATTATAAATATTAATATTATGTGAAATCAACACCCTTATTGAATCAATTTAGGTAAAGAATACCTACGACATTAGTAGTGTTTTCTATTTTATTTTCTTTATTTCAGGACTTACGAATAAAATTTTATAAACACGTCTTGGTAGAAAAAGTTAGTACTCGCTAGAAGCACTAGAAGATTCAAATTCAAATTCAAAATTACTTATTGTGAAACATAGGTGTTTACAGATAAAAATATTACATTGTGATAGTCTCACTATGTTTCGCCTGGTTGGCATACAATAATATAAGTGATTAATAAATCAATGAATAAATTAATAATTTACATGCATTAATGACACAAAACACTTGATTGCTTATTAAGTAGTCAAAACTATAATACAAAGTTAAATGTACTAGTATCATGAAAGGGCAATAACATTACATTATTTATTATTACTTTTTTCATTCACTTAATACAATAAATAAAATACAAGACAATTGAGCGATGTTTGCGATTTGCATGGCCAATAGGTGCATACAATATCGTCCGCTGCCGCTGTTTGTCGTCGCCGCGCGATCTTCCGGTTTTCACCGCCGCGTGCGCATCGCGCGGCTCCATTCCACAAACATGCGTCCGCAGCGCACCTGACGTTAGCGCAAAGCGTTTTGAATAATTCAATGCAGTTTTGGGCTACTTTTTATAACGGGAATAGGTACTGAAGTTGTTCAAGAAAATTCCATTTCGAAGATCGTAGTATGACATTTGTGCTACTTTCTGCTTTGACATAATTTGGTTTATGATTTTAAATTATGTCAAATTAATTACCATTGGAATAATGTTCGTCAGTTTGCATCGAATGTAAATACAAATAGTTTATTCATTACATAGGCCCTATGTCGTACACTTATACATATAAGTAGGTAGAGTCATTTTTACGGAATGGATCGCAAGACACGTTCGAGAGGTCCCGGGTTCGATTCCCGGCCGGGCAGAAATTGAAATGATGAATTTTAATTTCTGTGACGGGTCTGGGTGTGACTATGTATAATATTTATGTATTTAAAAAAAAAGTATACAAGTAGTATATCCGTTAAGCTAGCACCCATAACACAAGCATTAAGTTGCTTACTTTGGGGCTAGCTGGCGCTGTGTGAAATTGTCCAAATATTTATTATTATTATTANAAGACACGTTTTATAAGACAAATAGCAAGTATATGACCGCCGGCACACCTTGCATGAGCCAAAGTGCACAGCGCCTTCGTGCTCTATCGTATACCTACAGAGTTCATCTCTCTTAGCGTGTCATGAGATTCAGATTCAAATAAAAATCAGAATTCGTTGAATTTCAGTTCATTTGGTTAAGTAAGATACAGCAAGCCATGAATCCACTTGATTGTATACATGTAAAGAAATACATAGATTTGTTAGAGTGTGCTTCAAAAGGCTGGGTAGTTGAAGGGATAGTGAAAATTATCTTCGCGTTGTTCAGTATGTTATTCAGTATGAACAAAAAAACATTTGTCTAAGAAATGCCCATTTACGTTTCTTAGAATTAGACCATTCCATAGTTTTCGGGGATGCGAAAGAACTCTACATTTTTTCTCTGCATGAACAACTTTATACAAAAAATCTTATACGCAGTTCCGAACTACTAATATAACGCAGTTTATCTCGTCATAAGTCTGTAATTCCTTAAAATTAAATTATGACCTATTTATATCGTGTGNATCGTGTGTTAGTGTCGAAATATCAATATAAGAAACCGTAATACCCCAGTGACGCCAAGTCCAGAGGTTGCGTTATCAGGGGTTCACGAACATTGCAAATATGTCTAAGAACATCATTACCGCATTAGAATATAGTTATCCATTGTTGACAGGCCTACATACCTAGTTATTTAATTTATCATAATATAATGGATTATGGATATAGTAGCCTGTACAATTTAATTTTAATTTATTCTAACCCTAAAAAACTATCACTGCCAACCGTTCACTTATAAAAAACGAACTGCATTGTTTTATCGTTAACATAAAACCATTAACTTTCTTTGTGGCCACTGGCCAATTATCGTTTTGACAGTGATTTGATTAATTATTTGTTATTTTTGAACTGGGTGTTAGGTTTTAGTTGTTTTCAGAATATTTTTTTTTCGAACTTTTGCAGCTATAGTACCCTTTAATGTCATCGAGTGTTATTGATAAGTGATTAATTTACTAAACAAATGACAACACCGTTAATGGGTCAGCGTGGAGCAGACCAGACACGTGCTCGTGATAACTTTGTACATACTTGCTACTTGTTAATCTTTAACGTCTGGAAGTCGATTCTCATGTATAGAGAAAAGTCGAATTAGTACTATCTTTGATCGTCATGTCATCCATTTATGTCTGTTTATATTATATTTTATTAATGTGTATTTAGTCATTGCCACAATGGTAAAATTGTTAAGCGTAATTCTTCGAAAAACAGGTATTAACTAAATAATATTAGCAGTAGCATATAATTATGAAAACGTAAGTTCTACATATCCGCTTTCTGTCGTGATGGCGCCGAGCGCGCTAGATGCACGCGTGATATGTAGCCACAACAATTAAACTATGAAATGCAATAACATTAATAACAAAATCAAAACAAAGATGCGCAATAAATGATCACCATAATAGTTCAAAAGGTTATTAATAATTATTATTCAGCTATGTGTTAATATCAATGTGTTTGTCTCAAATAACCATATAAGGTATTTTTATACAAATATCTTTAGTTACTTGCAGAAATTAAATAAAAAAGCAAAAGGTAAAATGGTAACAATATCTTAAGATGAACAAATAAATTGGGGTGAAATTTAATTAAATATCACAATTAAAACTAATCTTTTCATTAGTTAACTTATTTTTTCTTCGAATATTCTTAATATCCGTTATGATGAAATTAATTACACCTCCTTTACTATTTATGACTTATCCAGATGTTGTTTACTTTCAGTTACAATCCTCAATAAAGAGCGCGGTTTAAAGCAAATCAATCAGACTGTTACATTGTCTCGCTAATCGCCTTATTTTGCTGCTCTTACTCATGTCTTCTACAATTATTTTGTATCTCCGAGTCGTTGCTAAGAGGGTTAATGCATTGTGCATAAAAGTTTTGTTTTTACCCGATTGCGCCAGGAGGGTTTATTAGTTATTATCACTCTCGTTAATTCTGCGTCTGTGTCTCTGCCTCTCTCGTTAATTCCAATCCAAATGAAATTTTATTAAGTCAAAAAATCATTTTTAGTAGCTATAATATTATGAGCGTAGATAAATTAATTAGGTATTTTATCTTCAATGTTAAACTGAAAATTGTATGAGTAGGTAGAGACATTTTACTGAAATTGTACTATGATATGAAATTGTATAGTATCATTTGCGGTGTAAAATACACATGTAAAGATTTACATAAGTACAATGTTGTCATGTCATACTCGTAATACAGGCTTTCCTGCTTGCAATAAATTAGGGGTAATTTGAGATGCGGGACTCGTGCGGGAATCGAACACCGGACTACTGAGGTCAATGATCATTGCAACTAACGCAATAGCATAATGAATATATGGCACGTGTACTAATTGAAAAACGCGAAACAATACAGTTGTTTTAATACCTTTTAAATTACTTTGTTGTATGGGTGTAAGTGATTCTGACACCATACACGACCTATTATTGTGGTTTCACTTTGATGAAACTGAGAATCGACTATCACCATAAATGTAAGTGATAGTAAAATGAATATGTAAAATAATCAATAGGTAAAGTCACTTATTGATATTGGTTTTCTCAATATTGACCAATACAGAAATTAAACTTGGAACCAAGATGCCATCACTTTATTTGAATATCATAAAAGTAGTTTAAACTCGAATCTGAAGCCGTGCAGAGTTCCAGCACCAGCATTCAACAGTGTCTGTCAATATTGGATTTTAAACATTGTCCTTGGATGTGCAACCCCACTTGTATTTGAAATATTTGAGACGAGAGTCCATAATATACCCACGGTATCCGGCGTTTTGTGGCCCACCAAATGACAATCGGTGTTTACACAAGGGACGGCGACCGATGTACTGCGCCTAATCTTGCCGCGAACTACAAATCACTCCAAACAATGACGTGACTTAGCAAAAACAAACAAGAGTAGTCCATGTAATTGCAACATTATTTTCTCATAAAAACCTAATGTTTGGTTTTAGGGATGCATTAAATAATAAGCAAGATATTATTATTATATGTCGTGCTACTTACCAGTTACTTGCAAAACTAGATATCCTTTTGCTGAATTAAAACCACCAACCAAACAAATTGGTGGCTGGTTGATTACGCTTCCTCCTAACATACATTGGTACCTATGACAGTATTGTGCTAAGCCCACCCAGTTCTATTACCCTACAACAAGAGGACATTGCCTAACCAGCTGAAAGGCGCCCTTCAATTCGTTTTCCTATCCATGGTAACCATAGACTCTCTCAAATTGCCTTTAGTCAAGCAGCCTGGCCACTTGAGAGCCTTAGCCCCCTTGATAAACCGCGATAATCCGTGATTTATTAGTTAGTTATTATTTTAATTCACAACCTAATTTCTTTACCTGGTATTTCTATAAATAGAGCACCCATGCTTTAAGTCAGTACATACATAGCTGTTAAATAACTAATCTTGT